GGGTGTGTGTGTACACCTGTAGACACCTGTAGTGTCTCGCCTTAAGTCAGCGACTAACTCTGAGCTGAGCTGTTTTACTGTGTGAGTCCTGGTTAACACACATGCTTTGTCAGACTCAGACATGTCCGGTGATGTTCGGGGGACACTGGGTCTTTGACAGAGACGTGCGGGTCACACGCTGACATTGTGACGTGACCCGGATCGCTCATGGTGCTGCATGGAGTGGGTGTGTGTGTGAGAGAGACTATTGTCTGAGGACAAGTGTGTGTGTGTGTGTGTGTGTGTGTGTGTGTCTGATGTCACACGAGTCACTCAACTTACAACCAAGAAACATACAGATGAATCAGCTGCAACGCACATCACTCATACTGCAATAACACATCTGAATATGATCTGATGACAGCTTTTAATATCACATTTATGCTGCATGTCATTTTAAAATAATAAAGTGCTTGCAGAGAGAACGACACAATGGGCTTCATACAGGAAATCAGACCGGGGCTAGTTGTCACAGGCACGAGAGCTCAGGTCTGAGTTATAAAAGCTTGTTCTCTAGCTGTGCATGTTTTGTATGTTGGTTTCAAACAATCATTACTCATTCATTTTGAATCAGAATTCGGTGAGCAAAAATGATGATTTGATATTTTAGTTACATTTACACATGCACATTTAAAATGCTGTTATTGTACTGTAGGCTATCATTGAGATACTATTATAATTTATTTGAAATATTTTGAATTAGTGGTCATTTTTGTATTTTCCTTTTTGTATTTTGCATTTTGCATTTTCATTTTAGGTTAGAGTTGTAGTAATTTTATTGTGTGTTTTTGTCATTTTCATTAGTATTTTTTACGTTTTTTGCTGTATATCGGCGCCTACTTTATTTCAGTTTTAGTTTAGTTATTATAGGATATGATTTGATATTTTTGGAAGTTATCTTTTACACATTTGCATTCTCATGAATTGCTTTGTATTTTATTGTTTAACAGTTTTAATTATTGCTGGAAACCCTTTAAATATCATACATCTAAAATATTCTGAGAGCAGTGTTTCATTGATGTAGCCTACTATTTGTTAATATTTTGAATTAGTTTTTATTTTTGTATTTTCAGTTTTACTTTTAGTATATCTTGTGATGCGTTTTTGTTATTTTTATTAATTTTGTATATTTTATATATATATATATTCCTGATATATCTTCTTTAATAATTTTTTTAAGTTTTAAGTTTTTTTGAAGTTAAGTTACATGAAAATGAGAAATGTTGCTTTAGTAACTAACTGATTTCATTTTATTTCAGTTAACGTTTACTTTCTTACTTTATTAAGTAAGGAAACTTTTTTTTTAATGGTTTTAGTCTTGAAAGTGATGGCTTTCATTTCGGACAGTATTTCAAACTGGTATTATTATTAAAAGGTATTATTGTGTTATTAAACAGAACGTTCATATTCTTACAATTCATCTCATTTTGTAGACAATAAGTTTAAAATGAACCCAGTAAATCGTGTGACAACATGCCCCGCTCCCTATAACTCGAGCAGCATGTGCACAAATAAGCCACAGCCACACGGTATAACAGTACATCACTGAGAGCGTCAGGCGAGAGGTGTTCAGCACAAACCTTGTCGAGTTCATCGTGGAGTTCCGACAGCGACGGGCGCAGGAGCTTCTCCCCGAGCGGAGCTTCCGTCTGCCGGTAGAAGTCGATGTTGGGCACCGCGTCGATGGTGTTGTGCCCGAAGGTCCGCAGGTAATACGTGCTGGAGTGCGTGTCCGAGAAGTGGCTGAGACCTCCGGTGGACGAATGCAGACTCGCCTCGCTCCGCACCGTGTCTCCGTTCACACCCGCGTCAGGCGCGGCGTCAGACGGGCTTAAGAAGTTCACCACCCGGAACCGGCCCTTGGACTCCTCACCGGTGGAGGAGCGAGATCCCGGCGGAGTTTTAGGAGCGACGCCCGCCGCCGCCGCCGCCTCCGCCACCGGGTCCACCTGGAAGCGGCTCTGAGAGGACCCCGGCGCCCGGAGAGCGGGTTTGTGTCCGGCTGGAGGAGATGAGGGCTGATCTGACATGATGGAGATGATGGAGAATCACGGGGAGCGCCGGTAACGGTTCATCAGTTACTACAGAGAAGCAGTCAGACGTAACGACACTCGTGACCGACCGGCGCTGATTGACAGCAGAGCTGCACAAGTTTGAGTTGGATTTGGCTTGTGCTCCCTCAAAAAAACCTTAGATTCCTCGATGAAACCGAGTTTAGGACAGAATCAACGCCACTGCAGACTTACCGTGCACTGGTAACACACACACACACACACACTCTCTCTCTCTCACACACA